ATCGAATTTTCTTTATATTTTATGCTCGAAGAAAGTGTGTATTTAGGTTTCAAAAAAGTTTCCCAATTCCCGAACAATTTTCAGCCTGATCTACCATTGCATCAGAGTTCAGCAATTTCAGTCTACAAGGTGCATACTTTCCACGTAGGGAAAATCATATAGTCCTCTATGCCTTTAAGAAGATACCACATAGAGTTCATGAAATCTTGCAATGGATCCGGACCGCATTGTACATTTCAGTAGGAGCATTATTAAACGGACATGTGCGGTCTTGCATGCATGGACATCGCACGGTCTTAAAAATCTCATAATCAGAAACTTTTTAAAGCCAAAATATGCACTTTCTTCGGGCATAAAATATGAAGGCAATGCGATTTACTACCAAATGAGCAAAAGAAAGCATATTTTGCGCATGTTTTCTGTAAAATATATTTGAATTTATAAGACCATCGAAAATAAATAGGTAAAATACACGCTACTTAAATAGTCATTTTTTACCGATTGTGGTTTCTGCAGGAAGTCAAAAAGAAGTACAGTCAAAAGCCGACATCCTGGCGAGTCCGAAATGTTATAGGGTTATGCTGCAAGATAATCAGTATAACAACCCCACTCCACGCACTCCAGAATTATGGTCAACATTTCGTGAGATCGGTCACGCACTGTAGTCCCGCCTAAGTAATAAAGGTGAACCTGCGCTAATTCTAGAAGGAGCAAAATATTCCCTTGTCCTAATCCCAACAATAACCCTAATACAAAATTAAACCGCTGCTCTAATCTTGACCCTAACCCTACCCTAAATCTTGACTCCAGGGTAAACACTTGCACTTACCTTAACTCCAAACTTGAGTCTGACTTACCTAGCCATAAACTTTAAATCCGGCTTTAGACCTAACCCTTAACTTAACTCCAACCCTAACCTTAAACCTAGTCCTAATTTCACTGGAAGTTGGCTTAAAGCCACCCGTATTGCAAGCGGTTCCTATTCTCGTGTTCTGTATTGGGGGCCATATAAATCAGTCCTACCAAATATCTAAGTGGAATCCGGTTGGCTTCCCATCGAAGACCTCTCGACACCCAACAATTATTTGTTTCCTTTCGTTTATTGGCTCTGTGGTAACTTGTGGAAAAGCTTGCAGTGCTAACTTCCAATGTTTTTAAGCAATATCCCTGCGCCCTGTTTGATTATTTAATAGCCCTGTCCTCCCGACGTTGCATTTTATGAAGTTCGGGAAAAATACCTCTCTGCAGTAAACCTACACAATCCACTAAAGAAGAAGTTTTGGCAACCTTAAGGCAACAACAAATGATACTTCGAAAACTCCTTGAGATAGAATATTCGAAATTTAAGCGTAAAGTACTCCAAGAATATATACTGCTTTGAGGAAAATCTGCAGTAGTTGGAGGATTTATCGAAATTTTCTTAAAGCTCAAAGATACTTTCTGCTCCACAAGTACTTCACAGATTGAGGGTGTTGTAAGTGGCTAAAAGCATTTCGAGGTGACTGGAACCGCGCTGGGATCATGCTGTCACGCGCAGTAGTCCTACAGCGTCGTTCAGAGAATCTCTTAGCGTTGAGAGTTCATACAAATAGTGTCGTCAGAACTCCGTAGACTTCGAAGAAAACTGTTGAATCCAGACCGACTGTAGCCTTTATGCCAAGGATTCGACTAGGGTGACTTTTGCTTTCCCAAAATAACCGAGTCACGTGAGAAGTGACTGAACTCGAATTCATGGCTGGTACCAACAGAAAAACACCCCTTTTTGACTGCAGTCGTCGGACGTCCTTTACGCGAGATCGGAGAACTCACTTTGAGGGTTTATTTTTAAATATTTTTTCGGCAGGAAGAAATTGACGCCAACAGACCCGCCCCCAATCGCCTGAAATTATCCAATTTTTTACGAGCTGGAGATAGATCTACGGTTAGAATTGGAGTCAAGGTTAAATTAAGGAATAGGGCTATAATTGGGTTAGTAGTTGACATTAAAGTTACGTATGTTATTACCGCCGGCTTATTAGCCGTCGTCAGCCAGTCATACCCAACCCCCCTACCATTGTATATTCCCGATCGAAACCGACAGGGCAACGGGCTCGTGGCTCAGTGCTTGGAGGCGTGAACTTCTAACAAACAGGTCGCGATTTCGAGCCTCGGGGTTGGGTATAACTGGCTGACGACGGCTAATAAGCCAGCAATGGCCATTCCAGGCTCCCTTATCTTTGTCCGTAATAACATACTACCTTTATCATGCTCTGCTATGCGGCTGCTGGCCGGGCTCGAGAGAGAGCCCGTAAGGCACGACGGGACGAGTGAGTTCCGTAAGAACGATCGGTGCGCGCCCCCTACAAGAGTTACGTCTGACAGCTAGGGCTGGGTAGGCGGTTTGGGATTAAAGTGTGAAAATAATTTACTGTTAGAGCTGGGATTAGACTGCGCTGTCTTGTGTTCAGGATCTTGTTTGTACTCGAAAATGGGAATCTGAGTGGGCAACTTGTAAAGGAGAGAAAAGGGATTGACGATTGTCTCTAACACCTTATTTCGAATGGGGAACATATCAGGACAGCTGCTGTCTGCAGAGACCTGATCCTGACCTACGTGTGTGTTCAGAGATGTAAAGTGAGCATAGTATGGGCCGACTCATTCCCAGAAAGGAGATGATACAAAACAATGCAACAATGCAAGTGGATTCATTCTACCGAACAAACTTACTCGGTACAAACTGTTTGCTCCGGTTTAGGCTCGATGTCATGGGATCTCCCTTTTTAGATTTCATGCAGCCCACAAGCACACATGGTACTTTACGTTTCGGGTTCGACGAAGGCCACCTTCATCATCATCCTCCTCCCCCCGTTCCCCTTTCCAATCAATGAAGAGTACAAACTAGGGGGCGGAATAGTTGGCTAGGCACCGTGTACCCATCTGTCTTGTACCCGTCACGCCACACTAACGAGAACTCAGTTACCCAGATCTTGACAGTATTTGTAGGGCAACTTTAAGAAGGAGTTATAGCAGTCTGAACTTTGGACAAGCAAACTCAGATCATGACATTGGCTCAGGTTTTGGAGGGAATTTCCAGAACCACTGCGCAACCCACTTTTAAGGGACAAGTGTCGAAAAATTCAGAACATAGATGTTAGTAGTTTGCTAGAATTGAGTAGTGTTTGCTATCTGCTGGGGTAATTGATCTGACGTTTCCTGGCACAACAGAACAAGTACCCTCCGTACCCCGATCGGTGAGTGCCTATCTGCAAAACCTGTCAAAACATCTATGAGTTACGTAAGCCTGGTAGTCATCTGGTGGATTCTCAGTGAAGTACTTAGGAAATCCTGCCTGGGCAGTCAACTTACTGTATCAGATTTGGTGGATTCCAAACGTTGCAGTAGGTTGGGCGGGTAGCATGACCCAAATGTGATTAAATTCAGGTCGTCCGGCGGGGCCTCGTAGCACAGGTGGTTAGAGCGTTGGCTGTACTAAAGCCTTCCCCTTACTGCGTGAATTAGAATCCCACCGAGGCGCCGAGATTTTCACAGTTAAGTCAATATGAATATGAAAATTAATATTCCCGATCACAACTGACAGGAAATTTGACCCGTGGCTCCATGGTAGAGTTTCAAACTTCATGACCAAAGATCCCGGATTCGAATCTCAAGTGATCCACACTTCGGGGTTTGGTGTGTCTGGCTGATGACGGATAAAGAATCAGAAACGGCCATTCAGCTCTCCCTTGTCTTTGTCCGCACCATCTCACATAAAAGGCTCTCCAGATTAAGCAGTCAGTAGCAGTGTTAGGTTATTCTGCATTTTGGTGGTCATTTGGCATATCTTGTTGAATGCCCGCTAGGAGAAATAGGATCTATCCCGTCGTCTGAAACACTACAGAACTCTTCGTCCAAAACAGAAAACTCTGAGGTTAAAGAAGGAAACCGGTTGCAGGCAGGCTGAAAGCAGACTCTAGACAAATATGTGTGTGTGCCCACCAACGACCAGATGCTGGGAGCTTCAATCAGCAGATATGGCATCCCGTATTCCAGAAAGGGCTTCAAAACCAGGCTGAATAAAAATCTTTACTTATTAATTACTGTAATATAGGGGTTTACAGATCAGGATATTGGATATGCTCGACCGGTTTTGCGTTGCGACTCACGCTTAAGCCCTTGCAAGCAGTCCTAAAGGAGTTACTAGTGATACACAAGGGGGTTGAATTGACATATGTGACGCCTTAAACGGGACAGGGGAATAGGTACGCCCCACCCAAACGCCATTTAGGGAGGGAAGTGTGTGCAGTCAACATGTAAAAAGGGGCTGTGTAAATCTAAGGACAGGGAAACATAGCTCGTGTTTCTCCGGCCATATGTAGACTGCCTCCAAGTAATGTAATGTCTGAGTTGTTCGCACCCAAACAAGTACTCGGAGGGATGTTTTGGGGCCATCGGAGTGACCGTTAACAAGGTGTTTCGTGAGAGAAGAGTTATAAATTCTATTTTTTTCGCAGTAATAGTAATTTAGGCATGTGCTCAATTGACCTGGCTGCCAGTTGCCTTTGCGTTCGCCCAAAGTACTTGGATCCACAAGTTCACGTGAATTCATGAACACAATTTTAGGTGGCGTGCAATGGCAAAACATCCTTTGCCCGTGGAACAGAGATAGCTTTAGAGGAACTGCTGAATATGAGTTCGGCTGCGTTGTATGTTCTTTCAATGGCGCATCTCAATCGTCGCTTAATGGTATTTGAAATGTTGTCACCCTTGCAGTGTAAGGATATTGTGCCTCGCAAACGGGCCAAGTGGCAAATGCGCTGGACCAACACAAGGGCCACATCGGACTCTGGCAGGCGTTATGGGATTGCACACCATGACAAATGCTAACATTTCTGTGTGCGATGGCAGACCCGGTTGCCGGCAGACTTCGCGCACACTGGGACCTCTGTCCCCCCGCCCCCCCCCCCCATTATTGTTGTTGGTCAAAAACCTGGTCATTTGCTGTGTGGACCAGGGGGTGTAGAATGGAGCGTCAAGGTGCGGGCTCGACCGTGCCATCCACCTGCGCTCTCCCCGCCTCCAGTTTTCCTGACTCTGTCTTAACACCGGGTCCAGGTAGGGAAGGAGGAGAGAGTGCGGTAGACGCTGTGCAGGTCTAAATTCACTATGAACCAAGGCACACATAAATCACCGTCCCTGCTATCACCTTGTTGTTGAGCACACGGTGGACATGGTCGGGTACGACGGTGGAACCATCGTAAGGATACTAAAATGGGCTTTTGCGAAATTGATTATTCCGTTGACATTGGCCGTAGTTAAAGATTTTCTGCAGTGGCACGGATCGGGTTCGATGGATTGGCGAGTACTTGGGACAGAAGATTGCTAGAAAAAGTGCTTTCCTTTGAAAAAACTAGGCACAGAGCTCTTTGCTGGCTCATTCTGTGAACCTGGTTGACGAAATGAATACTATAACGGACTGCATCATGGCCAGAGTCCAGAGACTGGGACAGGCAACACGCATCCTCGGCAAACTGGAAATTTTGGCTCTGAGGTGCGTTATTCAAATTAGCCACAGACTTCATCGCCAAGCAGGTCGTCTAAACGATGCTTATAAGCCTGGACAGACCGCATGAGGGCATTGCCACTTGCAAGAGGCTTTGAAGGCCTACAGTTTTGACTGACGAGAGAAGCGTCAGAGCGCCAAGCCGAGTAAGCATCCAAAGGCAAGTTAAGACACCTGGCCTTGCCGTCCCCAGTTGAGGTACAGCTAGTTGACGATGACGAACAGGTCAAACGAGTTGGGAATAACTTAAGAAGCCTACTTCTTCCTTCCAGAATCGCATGGTTTCCAGTCTACCGAGTGGAGCAATTCTGGGAGCGGTACTGAGCAGCCCTATGACTGCTCTTATATCCCCAATGAACTGCACGCTAATGCACTCCTTCAGTGTGTTCCCACCTTCACCACATCGTCCTCCTCCTCCTCCGCATCCTCCGAGTGCGTCTTGCAGGACCCAATGAATAGCGGCAGTCTTGCCCTGAGAGGATGCGCCCCCTCTAGCCGGGACGCCCACGCCTGTCCCGACTTTAACCTCCTGTCTGAGGGTCACAGTACGTCGCGGCTGTTTGAACGACAGGCCCTCAGTGGCAGGCTGTCCTCGATGGAATACGGCAGCCTTCAGAACCCCTCCCAATCACCCATCAGCTCTTTCTCCGCAGCGGCTGCAGTGGCCGCGGTCGCGGCCGCCTACATGTCCTCCTCTACCACGGGCTACTTCCCAGCGGCCGGCAGCGCCTTCTCGACGTCATCACTCGCCTGTCCCTGCTCTTCATCAAAGTCAGAATCCAAGGAGACAGTAGGCAGACAGGTCTTTCCACTGAACTCCAATGTCAGCCATGTCGACATCTCTACGCTGGATAGGTTCGCGGGGGGACTGTCCGTGCAGCCTTCGGTGAATAGTGACATGCCCTTTGCAGACTGTGTGGCACAGGGGCTGAGTATGAGGGCTGATCAGTACTTGCAGGTGGATGCGTCCGGCGCTGACGACTACCTTCTAGGCAAGCAGAAGACTGAGTACTGTGGTGGGAATTAGTAAGTTCCCTCTTTTCGTCTGGTTGGACTCTATGCTCAGTCTATCCGCATGCCTCTCCATCGAAAGTTCAGCAGTACTTAGGGCAGTTATTTTACGGTCAGATTTGGTATATTCCATACGTTGCCGCAGGATGGACGTCTCACTTGACCCAAATGTGATTAAACCCACTGCTCCCGGTGGGGCCTCGTAGCTCGGGTGGCTAGAACGTTGGTTGTACTAAAGTTTTCCCCTCGCTGTCGTGGATTCGAATCCCACCGAGGCGCCGAGATTTCCACAGCTGAGTTAAAATGAATTATTCAAAATCTGCCAAAACACCTATTAAAACAGAATATTTAAGGAAAAGAGAGACTGGATTGACCATCTGCTGGTTATTCTAGATCATCAGTCGGTCCCATCGAATGCGAGGCCTGAGATACGAAACCGCGTGTAGACAACGTAAGGTGCTCTTGAATCCTCTACCACCGAGACGCAAATTCACATCCTCTCATCTGTGAACGGGAGTAATCAGAATCATGTCAAGGGGGCTTTTAAAGATCTAACCTGCTTTTGTGACTGGATGCAGACTAGAGTGCATGAAGACTGTTGCGTATCTACGAGCATCCCATAATTGCAAGGGCAGGCAGTATAGCTGAAACCGACTCCTCGTTGGCAGCCAACAGAGCTTGGATCCGAGGGTTCAGTAGCAAAGCGCAGAAATATACACCAGCAGAACCTCATTTATAGTTTGCGGTATTTCTGGCCGTTGCATTTAGCGTGTGGCGAATGGGAATGTCTGTCAACCTCTCGACTACTGAGGGCTGAGCACCGTGTAACCGACAAAAGTATCTTTGGCTCGGAACCCCCGTTAGGATCCAAACGTCTGTATGTGGCTATGCAATCACGTTAGGTATTACAACGTCCTTGAAACGTGATGGTATGTTTTACTTAGCACTGCTGGTCCACCAACTATAAAATGAGTCTTCCGAATACACGTCAGTGGTAGTGTCCCAGTCTGAGGCACTAAAGGGTGCATCAAAAGAGCAACATAAAGTAGGTGGGCTAACTCATGAAATGTCAACTTTCGAAAAGAGTAACTAGGTAGGGTTGTAAAACTTGTCAGCCTAAAACATAATTATATAATATTTTAGTTACCTCAGGATGCCGGCATTCGAAAGAACTTCCTTCCGGCTGCATGCCAAAACTATACTCTGTAAAAATGACTACTTACGTAGCATGGAGATTTCCCATTGATTTTCGATGCTCCAAAAAGTCCAATTATATCTCCTAGAAAGCATGAATAAAAATATTCATTCTTTTGCTCATTTGGTAGATAATTAAGTCTTCTTCCAATCCCATACTCGAAAGAAGGGTGTTATTTGGTTTTCAAAAACTTTTCCAATTCCCGAATAATTTTGAACCCGCTCTACAGTTACCTTTGGATTCTGGGTTTCCAATTATAAGCCGTATATTTTCAGCGTACGGAAAACCACACATTTCTCTACGGTAATAAAGGGGAACCATATAGGGTTCATAAAATTAAGCAGTGGATTTGATCCATATTGTTAACTTTGCGAGCCACATTGGTAAATGCAGAGACATGACGATTTATGATGGGCCATTTTACGGTATCTAAAAGTCCCACAATTATAAACTTTTTAAAAACTGAATTATACCGCTCCTTTGAGCACAGAATTAGAAGAAGACGTAATTTTCTGCCGAATGAGCAAAAGAATGAATATTTTTATTCATTTTTTCCATGAACTGTAATTGGATTTTTAGGGGCATCGAAAATCAAAGAAAAAATGCATGCTACTTAAGTAGTCAGTTATTGCAGAGTATAGTTTTTGTATGCAGCCGGATGGAAGTTCGTTCGAAAGCCGGCATCCTGAGGTAACTGCATTATTATAGAATTGTACTGCAGACTGATTAGTTTTATAACCCTACTTAATTAATCTTTTCGGAATGACAACGCATTTCAGAATTTCGGTTGACATTTCACGAGTTAGCCCACCTACTGTATCTTCCGAGCATTTAAAAGCCCCCCCCCCACTTTTAATAAATGCGCGTTATCCCTGCCAAAAATGAAAAACTAATGTATGGATCTCTCGACTAGGGAGTTCAGAATAACCGGCCATCTATTAAGCAATCCCACTTAGTTATACGATTAGACTTCTTGATCATTCGTCAGGCATTAAAGGGCTATCGAGTAGGGTCAAAGGGGCGGATAGCCTTCGAATGAAAAAGTAATACTGAAAAGTAAAATCGGCAGGCAAACAATGAAAGCAAACTTGGACTGAACACAGGAATATGGACCTCCCCGCACTACACGTTACCTTGGGCTACTTGATCAGGATGTACTTATTCTGTGTCCTAAACTTGGCCCAAACCTTAACGCTAGCCCCCCTAACTCAACGGGGGTCCACTTTATCGCATCCTACTTAAACTGGAAAGCCCATGTTTCCTCCTACATTGGGACCAGGAGAGCGAAATTCACGGCTGCCATCCCTCCCCCCTCCCCCAGTCATACAGTCACTGGGATTCAGATTCTAGGTTTGACTTGTGCCACGAAGAGGCTGGACGTCAGACCCCTACTTAGAGGCTAGAATAATATCTATTGGAGTTCTGCGAATAGCCCCATGTTATAAGTGAAAAGCCAATTTGGTAAACACCGGTTTTCGGTAACGCATCCTCAGGTAAGTACAGTTACATATAAATTGAAGATATTGAAAATTCACAGTGTTTTTAAGCGACTCAGGGGCCATTAACACGCATTGTTCCCACGCCACCCTCATGATGAAGTCGGCGCGCTATGATCATTGGGACCAGGGGTGGGGGCTGGGAGTGTGACAAAGGTTGTGACCGATGTTTGTAAGTCGGGTGCGCGGAGCACACAGTGCGAGGCCGTGTCCAATGTTCTCCTCTACTCTTCGATTTTACTGTTTGGAGTTGGTCGACGGGTTCGCGCATTGCTTGCATACCAATCCCCGCAAGATGTTCTGCTTCTTTTCGATTGGGAATCTTCCCAATCACACCTGTCTATGCAAAGCAGATAACGCTTTCATACACTTGGTGACCTAACTCATGAAATGTGTTGAAATTTACGAATGATTGCCAACCACTCGCAAACCGACAGCATTTAATGAGTCCAATGCCTGTGTTAATTGAGTACATGTTTTAAAGAATTAAGAATATAAAAGAAATACTAAAGGCAGTGTTGCGTTGTTTAGAAATGTCGATTTATTTTAGAAAAGCGCAATATCCCGAAAACGTCAGAAATGGCCTTCATTTAGTAAACTTCGTTTTTACATGTATGAAATGTATTCCCATATCAAAAACGTAGTAAATATGAAAGTAGAAATAAAATAACGTCTAATAATAGTGTTTCGGTGAAGTTTACCACTGAATATCGTTTAATAATTAGTGTGATTTCATATACGACGGTTTGTCAACTGCCTACATTCTGAGTGTAGATTCCAAAACAGTTTTTCATGGTTTCGTGTTATCCTTGTCTCTTCTGAGTTAAATGAGATGGGTCTCAACAAAAGAAACTGGATTTTGCTTGATTTCACGGATGGTGACGTCGTAGGAACAAAAGCGTGCATAAGGCGACATACCATGAGGCCGGTCGGTGCCTAATAAATCTAAATGGAACTGACAGACGTGATCTTAAACACACCATTTAGTATTTATAGAAAGAACTTTTCTTCCGTTAAATTAATTTACACTTTTCGTTCGTTTTGGATTACGTTGAGTTTCAGATCGGCCTCGAAATATTGCTGAATACTTCATGATTTTCAGTGTTTTCACTTGATCGTCCACAAAAACAGATTCTGAATTACCTGTCACGGACTGTACAGGCAGCAAGCGAATGTTATGGTGATTTTTATGTTTTGGGACAGCCCATTATGTTTCCATGTTGCAATATCATCTGGCATCATCATTGACTACAACGCAGTGGCTAATCAGTTATAAGAAATCCACATTCAGAACGAGATTCTGTTTTACATGGACTAATGCATCAGTAACGTTCTCTTAGGAATTATGGTAGTCAACTTAAACTATATGCTCCTTTGTTTAGCTCATCTCGCGGAAGGGGACCACCCATGTGGCTCACTGAGACGAACGGCGCCTCTGCCCTCGGCTTCCCTCACTATCGAGATGCCTTTCCGACAAAGGCGGACGCATTTCCGGGGCTTCAACGCGACCAGCAGCAACAGCAACAGAGGTCACAGCAGCAACCAATCTATCCGCACCCTCTAGTGGGCCTTTCGGCGATTTCTGCAGCGCCCAGTTCTCTAGTCCGTCCATTCCCCTTTGGATACACATCACATTTTCCCCAAGCCACCGCTACCGAGGCTTTCATTAGCCATTCGGGCAAAGACCGCGAGGAAAGCTTCTTCCATTCAAACGAGGCCTCTGATGGTTGCCTTAACAGTGGTACAGCGTCTCCAGGCGCCTACAGGAAGGATACTGAGACCAGTTTTCAGAGAGTACCTCTGAACAATGAACAAAACCGGGCGAAAACTAGAGGCGACGCGGCGCATAAGATGGCCCACGTGAAGAAACCCCTCAATGCCTTCATGCTCTTCATGAAGGAGATGCGCGCTAAGGTAGTGGCCGAGTGCACTATGAAGGAATCAGCCGCTATCAACCAGATTCTCGGCCGAAAGTGGCATGCTCTGCCACGTGAAGAGCAAGCCAAGTTCTACGAAATGGCACGTCGGGAGAAGGAGATCCACCAGCGTCTCTATCCGGGCTGGTCAGCCAGAGACAATTATGCTTTCCATGCGAAACGGCGTAAGAGTCGATGCAGATACCGCAGCTTCGGTGCCGGAGCGGTTAAAAGTGGAGCTGCCTGTATCGGGAAGAACAGAGATCAGGAGGGGGGAAGCCCTTCGGAGGAAGTTTCTTCGGGATTGGTTACCCCAACGACGTCCCCGAACTCGGCCTCAGCATCCGGAAAAGATAGCTTCCACGGGTATTCCTTCAATTTTGACGGCATACCTGCTTTTCGCCAGCCGGAGGGGAAAGCGCTAACTTGTTTCAATCTGATGGACCGTCAGCCGTTCAGCACAGTTTCAGCTTCACTCCCTGACTGTGAGTTTTAAAGTGGTACATGCACCGACGTGGGTTCCTACTAGTTCCATAATCTGCATAAAACTTGATGTTATTTATAAAAACCGTAGGCCGTATCAAACTGTTTCTCGATCTGAATAACCCAAACCCTAAGGGGCGGAATACTGTGCAGAGGGCCTAGAATCTCAAAATTGTCTATAGAGCGCCGGGTGATCAATAATTACTCTCGGTGTATTCATACAACCTAATATAGCAGATCCTTCCTCAAAGTAGCCGCATACACTCGAAACTATATGATGAGAATAGATCGATACGCATAACTGTCGTGCGAATATGCATCTACTCTAGAACCGTTAGGCGTGACGCCGGCCCGCGGCTCAGATGAGATCGCGTTTGGACTTCCAAAATACTTAATTAACAACTGACTGTAGTTGGTATCTCCCTCGCCAGGCCTAAGGCCTTGCTATCGCTGACCGATGACGGCTATTGAGTCGAAAATGAACACTCTAGTGGCACTCATCTCTATCGCCAAAACCTCCCAAGCCAAGCCCTTAGCCGCGTGTTGGGTCCTCCGTTTTGCTAGTATGAATATGACACCAGAGTAAAGTTATAGCACAAAGATATTACAGGCAAGTCCACTTTCCCTCATCCGTTCGTCTATGGGAAGCCAACATCCGAAGGATCACCCCGTTTACGCAAAATACTCCGCATCAAACTTAAGGGTGTGGACGGGTCCGGTCGAATGAGTCGTGATTGGAGAGCTGGTGTCATTTCTCCCCACTGCTGCGTGTTCAGCCAGTCGCGTTAAAAGCAGCCTTCCGGTTTCCCCGACCTAGTTGCTTTGTCCGCAACTGTACCAGGTCAAATAAACGACTGCAGACGCATTTCCTCGTGACAATGGATCTTTCTGCCCTGGTACCTGACTCCTGTGTGCGTGCAATACCCCCCCCCCGAAGTGGCTCGAGAAAACGACTGAGGGCTTCCGAAATTTGAAGTCATTGCATTTTGGCCCCTCGTCTTGGGTGCGTATGCACCGGTCAGCGACGCTGATCGGATAAATATTTACTCTGAGCAACTGTCGAAGGTACTGAAATTGAGCAGCCCTGTCCTCTGGTTCTTTGCAGTGCGTTGTGATTCGCTGAAATACGCAACCACAGAAGAAAAGCAGAATAAGCCCAAAACAATAATGTACCAATCTAGTTATCCCTCCTCCGCTGCTACATGCAAGTACACTTGTGACTGCTTGGACGGTTGATGTTGAAGTTAAGTTCTTGCGTAGGTGGTTTTTAGGCCACCACAAGGACATCAAGGAAAGTCAGTTGGTCGTTTTCCTCCCTAATTGTTTGATGACCGGCAATCGTTGCGATTTCATCATCGGCTTTTGATGCTGGCGTGATAAATAATCTACTCCGGGACTTTGCAGGAGCTCGCATTCTCGCTTTAGTCGACGATGGTACAGGTTCTTTTGCTGTTCCTTTCAATGAAACCTCAAAAATATGACCGTATTTGACACTGACGATCCCACCAAACACGCTCAGGCATCTAAAGCTGAGACAGAGAGGCGACTTGTTTCGGATGAATTTTAAACTAGGAAATACTCATTCAGACCTTAATGCAATTAACTTACTGTCTTTGATGAATCTGTAGACTTCAAGGAAGGGGCAGACAGCATACGAAACAGTTTTAAACAGTGTGATTCCATCACGGACTACCGACAAGCACCACCTTGGCTCCCTAATCCAGCCCTCTACGAGGCTGCCGCTCGACCTGCCTGGTTCACACAGACCCCTGCCTCAGACGGCCACATCTTAACCTCTTTTGCCTACAACCTCGACGGAGAGTTCTCTGACACCGTTCCGTCGACGGAGTCCCGTCGTAGACCCACCTCTGAGACCTCCACAGAGAACGCCAAGTCCGCCTTTCGCATGCATGCTCAGAGGACACCCGGAGACCCCGCAGCCGACTGCAACAGAACCCAAGCCGACCTCTTCGCAGAGACCATCGTCTCCGCCGCAACGGCAGCAAATGGCGCATTCGACCCCAAGCTGGCGCCCACCTGCGAGACCGTCATGAACCCCTATGACTTCTGTTGCTCACAGACCTACGGCGGGGGAGGCCAGTTCCGGCCAGGGGAGAAGGGAGGGGATGAGTACTCCATTCACGGTGTTTAAACACATTTTTTTTCATCAAGTCTACCTTACATCGCATCGACTGATGATGATGACGCAGTTCCTTTAACTTGTCATTTTGAAAATCATACTGTCTTTGCTTGTTTTATTTTACCATGAGAAAATACAGAACCCGCAAAGTCCCACAGCATAATTTCCTCAGAACTGAACACCAGTCAGCCAACCGGGGGAACATCTAGTACGCTGAAATGCCCGCTACGACATTTGATCGACTTTTCGAGGGGCGTGTGGGCGGTGAGCTGCGAGTAGCATTCTAAACATCATTCTAAACATCGGCATTTGACTTGCAGTGACATATCCAACACAGGCTTCCTAGTTTTAGGCATAAACTGAGTACAATTCATGGATTGATTTCTCTCGGGCGCATTCTATTCCTATCAAACATATTGAGTAGCAATAAAAATCAATTTAAAAAGTCTCGAACCCGTCTTCGAACCGTAATATCTGGGAAAAAACGTTTGTCTAATCGGTAACAATCGGGAGATGGCACCCTAAAAAATCCGCCTAACCAAAGCAGCCTGTCTTACGGGACAGGTGGTAATAGGGGTTTTATGAGTGGTGGCTGGTCGGAATGTACGATACAAGCCGACGGAAAGCATTATTTGAACAGGTGAATGATCGATGTTGGCCCGCTCTCCGTTCCGCTAATGCAAAATAGGTCGTCAAAGGCAGTATAGTGGTAACGGACGAGTAGAAGGCGTAAAATCGTCTTCCCTCAGAAGGTTATCTGCATTTCTCTGTTAACCACTCAAAGAACTTCAAGGACCCTACCACCGAACGACACACCAATGCCATTGAGGCATACTGGAGTAGACTGAAAAGGCAACTCTACGAGGGAGGCCCTGTATGTGGTCGAGCTGTGTGGGCTCCCATAGACGAAGTAAAGTATCGTCTTTGGTTTGGCCTCAATGCCACGTCTTTGACAGATGCCTGTCCCATATTGTGCAGACTTATCCTATTTAAAAGGGATTTTGTTTTGTAATAACCTGCCGTAATGCGAGTGTATGCCGTATATTCAGGTGTACGTGTGTAACGATGGGGAAGGTTTGGGTAACAGCGACCATTGTCCATGTAACCTCCTGCGATGTTCGTTCGACCAGCCCATGTTAGGCCGCCGGGGAAAGTCCAAGTAGTGCATGAAAGTCAGCCTACAACCGCTAATATAGTCTGCAGGCGTTTGAATCCACTGTTAAGGGTATTATTTTCAGGTAACGGATTTTTTTGGGTGCCATCTCCCGATTTTTACTGTCTAATCAAATACACGGGTCAACGTCACAACCCAGTCCATGGAAATTTTTGCTTCCCCTGGTCAAACACTGGGGTCGTGTCCTTGAATATCATCATTTGAGTGAGTAGAAAGTGCTTTTAACCCCGGCACCATCCCATGCGGTCAGTCAAGGGAGATATTCGAACAAGTTTTTTGCCTCATAGAGAACCTGGTTAAAATAAGCCCTTGTCTGGATCGCAACCATATTACCACCAAAAATATGGGAACTGCTATAGGCAGAATGTTATTACCGACAAAGACAAGGGAGACTGGAATGGCCATTTCTGGCTGCCAGTCATATCCAACCCCGAAGTCTGGGAAATCCGAGGTTCGAACTCGCGACCTGGTAGTTAGAAGTCCATTGCCTCTAAACATTTGGCCACGGGCCCGTTGTCCTGTCGGTTTCGATCAGGAATATACAGTAGTGGAGGGACGCTCACCGATCGTTCTTACAGAGCTCACTCGGTGCGTTGTGCCTTACGAGCTCTCCCTCGAGCCCAACCAGCAGCCGCACAGCGACGCATGATATGGGCGGAACGTTATTACTGATAAAGACAAGGGAGACTGAAATGGCCATTTCTGGTTTATTAGCCCCAGGTTCTCCACATTTCGGGGTTGGGTATGACTGGCTGACGACGGCTAATAGGCCAGAAATGGCCATTCCAGTCTCCCTTGTCTTTGTCGGCAATATCATTCTGCCTATATCATGCACTGCTGTGCGGCTGCTGGTTCGGCTCGAGAGCGAGAGCTCGTAAGGCACAACGCACCGAGTGAGCTCTGTAAGAACGATCGGTGAGCATCCCTCTACCAGGGAACTGTTATGTTAGAAAATAATATTAACTGACTCTTAACCGACGGATTGCACGTATAAGTTACAATTGGAGTCGATTAAAGTCAGTCTAAAGGGTAGGCACAAGCAAGCTGTGTAATTGTACCTTTTAATTCTAGTGAACTTTGTGGACGAAGTGCACACTCATACGTACTTGCATAAAATTCCTCGGTTAAAGAACTGTTTGGAATAATATTTTCCGCCAGACTATGTACCGAAAGCTCTGGCCTTGACCCTTTTAATGTGCATGACGGCTGTAGCTAACTGCACTTGTATGTCGAACTGCACCATGTGTTGGATTTTTTCCTACAAACTTGAATAGTCGCTGTTGGTCAATGCACATTCATACACATCCTCCTTATTTCGCGCTCACTTACTACTTCCAAGGCATAAGTAGAGCAAAAACCCGCCCGGTTCCGCCTCCGGTCCTCCGGACTCCTTCTTGTCACCGGGCATGGGTGGGTGAGAGAAGGGAGTGTGTGGCAGATACTACGCAAGTCACCGTCCTGCGCCTACCCCATGGTGGACATCGACGTTAGCGACGGTCGAACAGACTGGGAGCAACGATCTAATCAAAAGCAAAGCCTTTCCACCCAGCACCGGATGGTTTGCGAGTCGAGACCGAAAAATACGATTTGCCCAGTTGTAATTAAGTTCGACTACATCTAACATTCGCATCAGATAGCCACATCACCCAACTTGAACAGGGATTCCAAACCAGTAAGACATATGCTTTCTAAGTTACATGGTGTGCAAGAGTGATAGGTCGGCATAGGCTAGGAAAGTTAAAATCCCACTCTGTCAGAAAATGCCAGGAAACCATACCGACATACTTGTGTATGCATAATATTCAGCAGACTGTATCAGGAAATGCAGTAGGCGATATATTTCTTGGAATGTGCCGAATTTTACGAACCATCTTAGATTACTCAGAAACCGGCCCAGTTGCATTTACCAAAACTCCCTATTAATCATGAGCGACTTTAAGTGAAACAAAAGCATAAAAGAAATGATAGAAGTAATATTACGTCGTTTAGAAATAACAACTTTCTTGAGAAAGGCGGAAATGGGGGAAACGCGGGAAAATCGTGTCAAGTGAACAAACTTAGGGTCCAGAAGTGTATATAGCCTGTCCAAGAGCTAGCCAGTCCCTGGAGGCCGTGTGCGTTTTCTCCAGCGCACTATCAACATGATCATGGCGCCTCGCCATTGGCTGCTCCTTTCGAGCCTGGTCGATCCCTGTACGCGAGTAATCGATCAGCTCGTCTAGCGTTTTCTTCTCGAAGCACATTGGGCTGAATGTAGGTGAATCCCAGTAGGATGTCGCAAATGTGCGTTGCTCTTCCAGTTAGACCTGGCTTGCAGTCCCACGCAAAAATTTTCCGTGGCCGGCTGTGTTCTCCTTCTCTGTCGCGTTGGTATTGGGGACAGGAATCGAGCGTGCCTACGCTCCGCGTGATTTCAAAGTACCAGGCTGGGTCATAACAAGAAGTGGACAGACTAGTTCCCGGAAGCAATTCAGAGGAAGAGGAAGAAGAAGAGGAAGAAAAAGAAGAAGATGCAGAAGCGATCGCTGGAAAAGGAAGTCAACTGACCTGAAGTTTCGAATTCTCACTCGAACCCATCATCAGAGACGGTTTCTGATAAAGGTAGTAGAGGCACAAACACAGCAGTATTTATAGTACGTAGCTCCTGTAGGGCCACGTGCGGACTATAATCAACAGCTCTTGTGATTCTAGTACGCAGGTGGCCCCACGACAGCTCCATATTATGAATACTGCTGTGTTTGTGCCTCCACTACCTTTATCTGCAGCCGTCTCTGAGTATGAGTTTTAGGGAGAATCCGAAACGTCAGGTCAATAAACTACTTGTTCCAATGATCGATTCTTCTTCTTATTCCTCCTCCTTCTTCTTCTTCTTCTTCTCCTCTTCTTATTCTTGCTCTTCTTCTTTTTCTTGTGAGTAGCATGTTTTACCTCCCTAACCGCCATGACTGATGGAACAGCGCAGGTCTTTTCAGCGTGGTAGTACGGCAGTTCGGCCGTTGCCACCGCGTGTCCACAGCATGCTGGGGGCAGGACGGTGTTTTGCGCAGCAATCAGTTTATGGTGATAGCAGATTTGAGCAGAAGCTGCCGCACTTTCTCTTCCCTCATCCTCCTGGGTCCGTCAGTAAGACACAGTCTGCACGCCCGGACGCGGACTCGAGCACAGTTAAGTAGTCCATCTACGTGTGCCACATACTATCTGATCCCCGCACGGTGTACCCAGTTTTCTCAGACACAAGAAAGAGGCTCAGATCTCACCTGTGTGAGAATACCATAGAGGCCACATTCAGAAGAAGCCACTGAGTGTAGCTCTCAGTCCCCACGGACCAGTCACCCAGACATACACAGTACTGGTCGCGAGGATCGAGTTGCTCCGTCTGTTGAGAGCCTTCCAAGCCACAAGGCCGAAATTCTCGCAAGAGGTGACGAACGCGTAAGCCGGCAGCTATTTGAATCACGCTTTACTGGCCCCCAGTCCATTAACAAGTACAATGATCTTCTCATTCCATACTCGGTGCTAAGGCCGTCTAGGCGGAGTAATTGGTCACGAGGGGAGCGTACAGGTGAATGCTTTTCCCAACGCCAAGGTCGGTGCGTCAGATGGTCAAGCAATCATCACAACAACACCCAACGCACGTGATGGAATTGCAGCAATTAACGGCGCGGATGTCGGCCAGCAAACAGTAAGCACACCACGTGCAACAATCCCGGATTAAGGGGGGAGCCGTGAATGTTCATAGGTATGCGGTAGCATGGCTACTGCATCCTATAAATACTGCAGCCCCTTATGCATGATCCACCCGTATGTGCTTTTATCTCTGATGATGGGTTCGAGCAGG